CACCCCACAACCCCCCCCCCCCCCCCCCCCCCCTTACCCCACCTCACGGACCCAACCAACCCCACCAACGCCACCACCCCCACCCTCCTTAAAAAGTCACCCTGACCACCTTTTTTTGTTGTGCTCAAATGGCCCCACGTCGTCCCCTGCCTTCGCGCAACCCCACCCCACCCCACCAACCTCTTTTTTGACGAGAGCGAGCATGGCAGGGGGGTCTTTAAGCCCGCGCTTAAACGGTTTCATAGGACTCATGATAGGAGTACATATTGCTGATGTGGCAGTGGAGGGGAAGCCTGGAGGAGAAGAGGGATTGATTGCTACAATATTCTTCTCCTTCCATCTGTGTTTTCTTCCCGCTCTCTGTTCTAGCTCGTGAGTTGGAGACTTTTAATGGTAATGAAGGATCATGTCCTTTGCACCTCTTTGATCACTTTTTTATACTCCTAGCTGGGATGATTATCGCGGCATTGCATGGCATTGTTATTGTGCGACATTGCTATTTGACGACAAGATTGTTTGACAAGACTGAGCTTATTACAAAAGATTTGCACCTGCATATAAAGCAGGCCTTTGATTAGAGGAAACCCAGGAAAGTAAAACATCAACTCGTTGGATAAATTGCATTGCTGAAATAGAACCCTAAAAAGACTCTAGGGACAGCAAGTGCATGAACAGCAAGCCATCAACTGTTAAAGTGTATAAGTTCTATCGATAGTCACTTTTGTTCTCCTAAATTGATTTTATATTATTGCATATGACTCTTCTCTGTAAAATATTCATTTGGATGAGTACCAAATACATCATATGCTCAACGAGTACTGACAAAATGCCAGCCTGCAATAAATAAGGAAGGTGCAGTTTCAGTCATATCATTTCTATAATTCAATGATTTCTTTATTAACATTAATATCAATTATTGGCTTCGGTTGTAGATGCTGAGGCGACTCTTCGATAAAACTATGGCAAGCCTCCTAATTGACCAACGAAATGTATATTACAGTATTCAATGTACTATTCATTCTGTTAATTTCTGTAGAAAAAGAACGAGATTGGAAAAGCGAACTGCTTACTTTAGAAATTTGGACAAATGGAAGTATTTGAACCCCTAAAGGAAACACATGCTATGTTTCCACAAATGGATTGAAAAGTAGGTCCATGCTATGAATCCCCCACGGCCACGGTCTCCGCGGGCAAGACCGCGTCCATGTAATTGATAAATACTTCGTAAAAAACACAACCTTGCGTTGCCTTTATTTTGTCTGTTGGTGGGGAGCTGCACCTGCTGGAAAACGGGTTCAGCGTCCCCAGAATGAGCATCAAAGATCACATACATAGTAGTAACACAGTTGGTCAGTAGAGCCCCTGCCTCATCAGCCCTACTACCAACTGCCCAAACAAGCCATACAAGTTGATAGGACTCATAGGAGTACAATTTCAACAAGTGGAATCACACTTATCTGGGTAGGTGTCTTATTTCTGTGGTTCTTTTCACCTCGTCAGAGGCTAAAGCAGGAAGAGGTCTCCCTCTTCAACATACTCCGAACCAAGCTCTCTGCCAAGAAAACCTCTGTTATTCGAAAATCGTGGCCCTCTATGATAGGGATGACCAGAGCATTTGACCTAGTAGAAAGTGAAATGGGTATGGGGGATGTGGACACAGGAACCATCTGGGGGTAGAGCCACTAAGGCACATCCTTTAATAGTGCACTATCACTGAACCTCATACTACTGCGGGGCACACCTGTACTATGCCTGAACTATACCCCTTCTTAAGGCAAAAAAACGGAATTTCCACTACAAGGCAGAGGTGAATGGCGTGAAGATCCTCCACAACATACTGGGAGAGTTCCATTCATACATATTTAATTTATGTAAATGCATCATCTACTACTCTATGCACTCCGCACTTTGCATACACTATCTTTCACTATACAGGATGTATAGACTTGGATAATAATATGTTCATATTATATCAGAGTCTGCAGACTATCGAACCCATACGTATTTAAATGTGGAATATTAGGTGTATAGCACTCTATAACACCAATTATGTATTTCAGCGTCGACTACGTTTAGTAGCACTCACTAGTCTGAGGTGTATACATAGTCTGTAGTCTTTAGCCCACACACAAAGTATGCACAGATTCACGTTTTTCAGAAACGAGACTCTGGTGTGTGCGTGACTCTGTGAGCAATAGAAAATGACACGAATGTCTTAAAATTTCTATAAGAAAAGAATTTTTTTTAGTGGAATTTATGCCCAACAACAACAGAAAAAAATAAATCATCTAGGCATACTGGACCTTTTATCCCACCCTCAGAGTCGGTTCGTAGTAGCAGGGGTGACATACTACCCCACAATACGCTCCATACGTTATAGGGAAAAGTTATAGAACCTCCCCACGAACAAAACCATGTGTTCATTTCGTCCCAAGCGGGGCAAAAAGTGCAGGAGGTCCCAAAATAAGTTTTGCCGTCATTTTTGCACCCTGTAAAACACTTTCCCACCATTTTTGTACAGCGGGTATTACCCGCCCAGCTAGGGTGGCAAAATGACATGAAACCTGAGCACTTTTTTTTGCCCTGCTTGGGGGCAAATGAATACAAAGATTTCGTCGGGTCTCCCTAAGAATATACATTCATACTATTTGATAGTAACCTTTACCAGGCACGTACACCCGTCTTACCAAAAACTCCTGGAGACTGGTATAGGATCTAGTAGGATGGGTTTCAACTTCCAATGAAGGGTTCGCAGCATGGGGCAAGGTACAAAATGGATATTCTGGAGGGAAAACTGAATCACAACCTCAGACTGGACCTTTGAGTGAGAAATGGAAAAGAGAACACAAAATAGGAGGGGGGAAACAACCCAGAAAGCAGCGTTATTCTAGAGGCCAGGCATCATTGTTCTGTTGTGCAGACAGCAAAAAAAGTGCTTCACGAAAACATATTCACCACGAGACTGCCACCAGTTCAACGAAAGCCAACACCCACATACATCTGGTTAGCCATGACAAACACCCTCAGTTGATGACGCCAAGAGGGCTGTCACCTACCGTCTTCGCCCGAACATAACGCACCCTGAAAATGCCTGTATACAAGCTATTTTTTCGGTTCGATACAGCCATAATCAGGGTGCGTTGTGTTCGAGCGACGGCAGTCAGTACTTGTCCCGACTGGCGAACGGGTAATATGCAAGAACCCTGCTAAATGCAAGAATGGGTGAACTGCTTAGTGTTTTGTTTTCAACCACCAAAGACTATCGAGGCACTTGATGATAAATCCACCACAATGAATTCTAAAGAGTCCATCCACTCGCTTTCCGCTGCATATATCGCCTTAGGCCGAGATCCCACTGCCACTGGCAAAGTGGATTGTAGTGTCTGAATGTGGACGTGTTTGTGGACAGGCGCGAAAATTTGTGATTGATCTACTTCTCTGCACCTCTGCGTGGAACACGTCCAGATTCAGACGCTTCCTCCAATCCTCTTTGCCAGTGGGATCTGGCCCTTAGACAACTTAGTCTTCCTACAAACCAAAATTATTGTTCAGGAACAACGGGGTTAGGCTTAAGGTCCGCCCTTCCAGCATATGGACGTCCAAATTTCAGTAATATCAATAGAAGCTGACATCTTGTGATATATTTCATCCTCCCACAGATTTCCTGAGGTCCTTCTAGCCTCCGGACAATCTCTCATTCTGATTGGTCTAACACCTCATGATATCACAAACTGGACGTAACTGGAAAAACCAACCGCTCAGCAAGAAACTTTTAAGTCATCTTTGCCCCTCGACAACGAATATGCATCCAAATATAACGCCTGAAACCTGCACCCACGCCCTGTAAAGGGCACACTATCCGTTCATACTCCCGACTCTGGAGCAACAGATAAACCACACAAAGCCAGAGACTTATAACTTAATTAGTCGTCGAACTTGTTGGTCGAAGTGCGTTCTCTTCAGCCTTCTATTCTAGAAAAGGCCAGAATAAGCCAAAATCGTTTTTTCTATTCTAGGAAAGCCGAGACTAATAACTTAATTAATCGTCGAAGTGCGTTCTCTTCAGAGTCTTCAATTGTAGAAAGGCCAGAATAAGCCAAAACAACGTTTTTTCTATTCTACAAAGACCCATACCGTGTCGCTAAAAGGCCACCAAGCATCCAACAAAGCGAACCTGAATGCATTGCTAATGGTCATCGACACTGATGCACTGTTGGTAAGACAGCGGTTGCACTGCCTTCCCTGACCTGCCGTTCATGGAGCGCCTGAGCGTCACACATTCGTCCAAAGGACCAAAGGCCATGCACAGCACGATCAGTACTTCGCTTTCAACGACTGGCGGTTGCAGCCAGAGTCTCCTTGGCCGCACCCTTCGCTGGGAGGTGTTCCTCCACCTTCTCTCCGGGAAACACCTCACTCGTCTCTCTTCCTTCCTTCCGTGCGTCCTTAGACACACTCAACAACGCTTGTTCCCAAGCCCGGGCAGGACCCTGCAAGCCAACAAAGACAACCATACAACAAGTTACCCTTTCAAGCAGCAGAAGAGTGGAAAACACATCTATAAACTAAACCGTCACAATCCTGCCGACTGTGAGAGAAAAACCGTATTTATGTATTGTATTGTCGGTATTGACTGTGGAAGGTACTCGGAGAGTCACCATCGATTCACCATTGTCTATCCTCATCGGGAGCCAATATCAACTCGATTAAAAAGCGTGGAAGTGTGGTTGCCTTCACTTTTTTTTTTCGTTATTTTGAAATCTTCTTGGCATTCTTCCGTACAGTTTTAGAGTGACAAGTGAATCATGCTGGTCAGCTGCACTCCAACAGGGTCCGATCAAGACAGTCAAATCCAAACATGCGAATCAGTGTTCAACACCCTACACAATGTCATGCATTGGGCCCCTTCACCAAGTTCAACTACCACCAGACAAGAATGGCGTCGCTCCACTACTCTCGACATGCACAAAGGACCAAAATCATGGCCGTGCATCTTTCCATGTTTTACCTTAAGATTCACTCTCGTTTTGCACATCTCGAGACTCAAAGAGTAGTGCAGCGAGGACCATACACACCCATACACACAAGCAAGTGTGTGTTCCTAACATGATAGTCTTATCTGCGTGGGAAGACATTGCTAACTGGTTGCCACTCTTTTCTCATTCACCCACCTTCCAGGAGACGTCCTGCGACATGGCAGCCACAACCATGCTTCTGAAGTGAGGGGTCGAAAACACCCCGATTGCCCGCTTTAATCCCTCCACAGCCTTGATGACGTCCTCTGCTCCTCCTTCCGGCTGCCAAGTAGCCAATCCACAATCAATAAATAAAAACCACGTCATGAGTCATCATTTGAACGGAAGGCAGTTACCGGCTGCAGTCCCTAAGGACTGCGTACTATGCGGCCATTCTTTGCAAAGATGAAATCAGGCCCAGTACATCTTTGATCAGACGATGGGCCACATAGACAAGTGAAGATTTTCCACATAGTGTACGAATCAATGGCAGTCTGACGGACACTCCTAAAAGCAGACGGGCACCGTACAGTCTTAATATCACGGGGACAAGCAACACTTTCCCCCTCGTCGTACTCCGCAAGCCAAAAATTGATTCCTTCAACATTTCAAGCTTCTGAAGGCTACGTGCGCACAAGAGTCCCTACCATACACTGTCAGGAGAAAAGTCAAATGTCCCGGTCGTTTATCTGGAAGTCGCTGCTCTCCTTTCTTACATCTCAAACCTCATTCAAATTCTTTTCATCCATTTCCAGCGGCACCATATCACAGCCAAGTAATGAGCAAGTGAGAAACATTACTGACCTTGACGCCGAACTTCCCCATGTGCAAGCCGGTCACACCGTCGCGCACGGAGTCCAGAAAACCGCCTGTCGATGCGACAACTGGAATCTGCAAAACCATACACAACGTTTCGTCACTTCCCAAAAAAGGAAAACTTACAACTGAAACCATTGTTGAAAAATAGTATGTCTTCATTTTTCATTTTTTTATTTCTATTTTTTTAAAGGCTGCCCAACCAATTCAATTTACCTGTCAAATCCCAAAAAAAAAAAAAAGAAAAAAAAAAAACCTGTCAAATCTGGAGGGGGATCCCACCAGCCAGGTATGTGGATTAGTGTGACGGGTGTGGGACGGGTGGGGGACAGGTGGGTGGCAGCGTGAAATAGGGAAAATAAACGTAAAAAAACAAGGGCAAGAGTAACTCCACACACCATTTGCTGTAGGTGAGGGGATCGAACCCTCCCCAAACACCTCTCAAAAAATAAGGGGGCACATGCATGTCAAAGAGGACAACAGCATTGCCCATGTGAAACATTTGCGGGGACTACAGACAACTTGGACGAGGGTCTGACACGGACTGACATTCCCTCATGATGGGAAACACCGAAAAATTTTGTTTTCGGCCTCTCTTCCACGCATGGGCCACGACCCAAAGGTGAGTGAAAGGTGAGTGAAAAGCAACACAAAAAAAATGGGTCCGATTTTCACTCACGTTCGGGACGCCCAGAGGAACACGGCAAGCAAAACAAAAGAAAGACCACCCAATGGGATGCTCCAAAAAAACATATATTTTCGAGGGCTAAAATACAGGAAAAACAAAACCACCGATCCCCATTCCCATCGACGGCGGAGGCGGGTCACACGCCCTCTACACTACTCCACATACACTGCTTGTGGGATCTCCCTCCTGGACAAGACGGCCTTTCAGGCCTTTTTTATTGTCATTATAGTTTTACGGGGAACCCCGTAGCAGCCACATCCGTGCTCAAGCCTCCAACGAGGGAACATGCGGGAGCTGCACCCACCAGCAAGTGCGATACCTGCTACAGCAGGTGGGCGATACCGGGCAGGGGTCAGTCGGTAGCATCAGGACCGGTAGTCCACATGAATAACTTTCAAACGTCAAGCATATATATATATATATAAAACATGAAACGTGGCCGAGGCATCTCGGGCGTGGCCACGGCCGAAATGCCTCGGCCACGCCCGCGGGAAAAAAAAAAAGAAAACAAAAAGAAAAGAAAAGAAAAGCTGAGTGCCTAAGGCCGGAACTTTGAGTCCCTGAGTCCCTGAGGCCAGGGGCCTGGGGTCCTTCGCTGTGAAACTTGGCAAAACGCGGTATTTTTTTTTTTGCTGGCAAACTTCGAAACAGCAATATTTTTGACATTAACCCTTTTATATATGTGCATCCTATACGTCGCTTTTTGGTTCCCCTCTAAACCGTTCTGCAAACTTCAGACCCACCAATACAGGGTACACGGCATCCTAGCCAGCGAACGCCAACCCAACTGCCGAAACAAACACTCAGAAAACAACAGATAAATGTATTAATATACCCATGACAGACATCCATGATAGACGTGGGCCCGTGGGGGAGCAGCCTACCGTGCCGTAGAGCATGGCGTGCAGCTGAACGAGTCCGGCAGGCTCGAAGCGGCTGGGCAGCACCATGAAGTCACACCCAGCAACGATCATGTGGGCCAGTCGGGGACTGAACCTCGTCATTGCCCGCACCTGTTCGGGAAACCTGTTCTCCAAATTTTGCAGCTGCTTCTCATACTGAGCCTTGCCCGTTCCCTGCACAACCACACATCAAAAGAGTCCGCACATTAATGCCAGCTCAGGTAGTTTTCATTCCCCTGCCGAGTGCCATGCTCCCACTCCACCCGCCTACCTCAGTGGTCAGTGGTGTACTTCGCAATATCCTAGCGAATGGAAGGCCGGAAGAACACAGAACCGAGAACTCCAATCGTACGTCGAGAGGAAATTTAAACAGGAGAAAATGCCCAACGCGAGCATATCTGAACGGGCAGCAGACATGGACGTAGTGCGCCAGAGGAACCATCCACATGGACCTACGTGGCCAGGTACAGGTTATGCACCTGGGCTCAGCCTAACGGCAGGTACGTTCCGAAATCCTTAAATTGCCAAGTGGTTTCAACGAATGCTGTGCGAGTCATATGCAGAAAAAGAAAAGTTCCGATGCACGCACCAACATGATGAACTGCGCTTTTCCTCACTGTCCACGAGCTTAAGGATGGCGGCTGCCAAGATGTCCGATCCTTTCTGCTCGTCGAGCCGTCCCATAAACCCAAACAAAGGAACTTCCGGACGGTCTGCTAAACCTGCCTCCGCCTGCAACTGCCGCTTCAATGAGGGCTTGACGTCAAACACCTGCCACACGGACGAAGAAAAGACAAGTCAACGACAGTTTCAAATCGAAGGCCATATCAAAGAGGTCTCTTACGGTGAAGGCCAAGTCAATATCCTTATTACACTACCAACATTGCATGACGGACAGGTGCAGAAAGGAACATCGATTGGCATCAACCATACCTCAACCGAGAAAGTCGTTCAGACAGCGCCTACCGCGTAGGAGTGAAGGGATTAAGACAACAGAGGTGAGTGAGCACTCACCGAGTCGACGTCGTATCTCTGAGGCAGGAACTTGTCATTGACGGGACTCCACTCCGTCACATCTGCGCCGTTCATTATCCCAAGCATCCCCTTTCTTGAAATCAGGTCTTGAAGATCTGCGCCACGCTCGTGCTCTGTAGCGACCTCGGCTGCGTACGAGGGACTGACCGTCAGCAGCAAATCGGAGTACTCGAATCCCGCTTTCATCCAATTCAGTACCTGCAGGTGCTCTGCAGACTTCTCGCTGCGGCTATCCTTATGCAAAATCAACCAACACAGGGGAAAGGAGCGAGTTGGAGTTTTGACACAGGTAACCAACTGTAACGTAAAGACGAGCGCCAACAATCTCTCTCTCTCTCTCTCTCAGCCCCCCCCCCACACCCCCTTTGAGAATTTACATCCAGCCACAAGGACATCGACAAATCCAAAAACTAAGCATCTCTCGCTCTCTAACTTTCCCCCCCCCCCCCCCCCCCCGGAGAACACAAAGGGCACGTAAACCCAAAAATTCACAAATGGATACACGATTGGAATACGTAAAACCAGAGAGCACATAAATCAATGGCCAACACCGTTGTCTGCGTCACAGAGAGAGAGAGAGAGAGAGAGAGAGAGAGAGAGAGAGAGAGAGAGAGAGAGAGAGAGAGAGAGAGAGCACTGGTTCAGGAGAGAGTCTCGCTATACCCACCCACAATGCTCAAGAAGAGGATAGAGTTTTTTGCTGAATTCACTCACGCAAATTACTGGTCTACGGAATTCATCTGTCCACTATGCTGTACGGCGCTGCCGCTTTCAGCGGAAATTCAGCCCAATGAGCACATGTTTCAGGCAACGGACGGGTCTCAAATTCGATACTGGGTCTTACGTATCCGATGAGCTCTAACCTGTTGGTTTTGGGCACTTGTTGCTGGAATGCTGGCCGAAACTCCGCAGGGAGGTCCAGGGTGCTGTATTCGAACTCATCTTCATCGAACTGGCCTTGATAAGCCAGATTGTGCACACACATGGCAACCTGTGACCATTACAATTTACAACCCAAGGGAGAAAACCCGCAGTAATGAGATTCAGAGAATGCCCCTTTCGTTCTTTGATTCTCGACAACGCTCACGTCTTTGCTTGCCTCACTTAACCCAGTCATTTTCAATTTCCATTTCTGGCAGCATATTTTCAATGATCATTTTGGCATCCCTTTGATGAAGAACGCTATTAACTCCGCTGACTCACTGCACAGCACAAAGTGCTAACTCCACTGACTCGCTGCACAGCACAAAGTGGAACACCTCCACGTACGCTCGAGCATCCACCAGAGTGGAACACCTCCACGTACGCTCGAGCATCCGCCAGAGCATACGGACAAACACCAGCTCGCCGGTTTCTTTGCCTCTGTGCTCTCGCGGACAGCACCTTGAGGGCTTGCCCTCCTGGCCTCGTTCGGGTAGTACCTCTGCACCTCCGTACTCCCCTCTATCGCAAGTTCTTTGAAGGCGTGAGAGAATCAATCATTTGTGATCCCGTCAAGGTGGATGCAATCGCACGGTAAGTTCTCCGCAAACAAAGATCTGCATTGCCACCTCCTAGATATGGCGAATTGACACCCATCCAGCCATCATTGCTGAACCCTAATATGGCTTTCATTTGTGTGAGGCCCTCTGTGTGCAGTGGATGGTATCAGCAGTTGGGAAGAGAAGAAACGGAGCACATACCTTGGCGTTTGCGTACGTGCCTGTGGACTGAAATCTGCTCTTCAGGTATACAGGAACAAGGGCGGCGTGCCAATCATTGACGACGAAAACCACATCTTCCCCTGCAAGTTCCACGTGGCGAGAATTCAGATGTCAATAAAAAAAACATACGCTATTTCGTCTTCTTCAACTGAAGCCGAAGGAGGACAGAGGGCAGCCTACGAGAGAGAAAAGTGATTAGTGATGAGAACTGCGTGAGTAACCGTGGCCAATGGGTCAAGTCAGCCGAGCAAGGGGAAAGTTATGTTACATCCTGCCCGCCACAGAACCTTTGCATTCACAATTCATCCCGCCATGGATTATATATTAGAGAGTGGGAGTGACTAGTCAATTGGTGGAAACGGCGTACTTAGGTAGACAGCAGCATATATACGATCATATACACACACAATGACCAAGGAACTGTAATCTGTCTGAAAGTAAATACACCTTACAGTGCAAACATGAGCTCCATGCGAAATCAGCCAAGGCCAGGCAGCTAAGTACGATGAGACTTACCGTATGGGGACGACATACCCGTGCCCTCCGCCAAGTGGAGGAGCAAGGGCGCCTGGAGTGCWGCCTGCAACAGGCAGCGAAAGAAGACAAGTAAGATTGGCAGTCCCGCTTCTCCCACTCCCAGCAAGAAATTATTAAAAAAAACAAAAAAAAGAGAAGATTGTACCATTATCGACATCATCCGCAACGTCCGCAAGCGCTTCGTTTCTAATGAGGATTATGGAAAATCTTTTGAAAGTTTCACCTCGGATAGCATGCACAGCAGTCGACTCAGAATGTGTGAGTGTCGGGGAAATGGGTTCTGTGCCTCACTGCCCGGGTAAGGCAACACACAGTAACTGTTGCAGATCAGACAGAAAGGGATGTGAGACGCATGCAAGAAGAGAAGCAGCCTTACCTGGCAGAAGATGGCGAACCGCAGAGGATTCTCAGGGTACTCAACCCCCACTCTGCCGCCGTAGATCCTTTGACCTGTTTTGCCCCACACCTGCCCATTCGGTCGACGGTCCCCGATTCCAAGCGGATGGCATTCAGCGTTGTGCGGCGTCGATCGATACAACCCACAGGGCAAGCAAGCAAGGAATTTCAAACTCGTGAGAATCAGGGCCGTGACATTCAACGCCTCTTTAATTTGCACAGACATATACACTAAACTAAACTTGAACGCCCGGTCATTATATCTGTATTTGCCACAACTTTCGGACCAGATGCAAGGATAAAGTCCGGGCATTTTATTCGGGGTAAAAATGTAGTTCCGACACACAGCACGATCAAAATGGCTCTAGCAGAAAGGCTACGTACTAGGAAAGACGTGTTGTCTTCTAGTCTACAAGTGGACGTGTTGTCTCCCAGTCCACAAGCGGCCAAGTCATCCACGGCCCCCCTCCATTGCTACATCTTCATTGAGACCGACTGCACTGTCGTTTTGTTATGTCCCTGGGTGGATTGTATCTACTGATGAATTTTCACACCTCAATTCAAAACATGCCGACGGTCAAAATTCGCCAGCCGAAACGATCAGTAGGGAAAAACCTCCAGATAGAACAGTTCAATCGTACTCCAGATAGAACAGTTAATTCCTAAGTGCTCCCTTCTTTCGTACTCCATTGTTCTGTGACTTCCCTGTCGCTCGTCTGTGATGCACTGCCCTTTTCTTCCCGTTGTTTGGAGCTTTGTCTCCGCACGGACAGCCGTGCAAGTAACCGAATCACAAAGATGGTGAAAGTATGTTTTGATAATGTATCAAAATTTAAAAATCGCAAAAAAAAAAGCAACAGCTCTAATCGTTAGTACACAGTATCTCGTCTTCGTCTGTAAGAGGAGGCGTACCATTTCGAGGAAAAGCGGATGATCGACGAACACCCGGTCCACTCCTCGATTGTGCGAGTGGAAGAAGCGAACAGTCTCCACCTCCCCTCCAAGGCTGACCTGTCCGAGAAAATGACGGTAGTAAACATATAATTGAAACGGACACACATCCAATACAGAGGTGGACAAGCGAAACGAAGCAGTCAATTCCACACCATTATCCATAGAGAGGTAAACAAGCCAAACGAGGCAGTCAATTCCAAACCATTATCCCGGCCGGGCACTCATTTCAAGCTCAACCTTGAAAATCTGGCTTTTCCAGACGTTCTAAACAAGTGAGACATGCTACTCTTGGCCTAATAGCACGAAGTATTGACGTGGAACGGAACCAAAGGCATCACGACCATCACGACCAGAACGATGGGCCTCCGTAACGCATGACGTCGCGGACGTTCAGGATGCTAGAAACGCCATTGTATCCACGGGTCAGTGTGTGTGTGTGTGTGTGTGTGTGTGTGTGTG